ACATGCTTCTAAGCATGCAAGCAGAGTTTATCATCATTCTTGGACCCAAGTCACAACTTGCAAAAAGGAGGTAGGTTTTATAACTAATCATTTCATTTAAGTAAATACCTTTGAAAATGTCTAAACTCTTTAAATCATACAAAGATAGACATTTATATCTTACGATAACATTCTAAAATAATTTTTACATAAACATGACTATGAAACAATATGCGGTCCCAAATCTCTCCCTAATGGATACGCATCTCCCCTATCCTTTGAAAAAGCTATCATTTTGTCACTTCCTGTTTTCTCTGCAGGTATAGTGATATCTCTCTTTTATTTAGCATGCTGCCCATCTGTTCAGGATCTAGCATTTGCCCCACGCTTTGACATTTGCTGGCACGCCTTCAGTTTATGATCAATCCACCACAACTAATCATGCAGTCATAATATGGAGGCTAAGAGTCTTGTGTAAGCCCTCTGAGGTAAACAGCCAGTAGAAATAAGCTACAGCAAGTATAGCTATGGTATGGTTGATGCTCAGGACATTATAGTTGGTAAAAGTACTCTTTCTTTCAAAAAGCTTTTTCTCCCCATAATGGCCTCTCCCTTTAAACTCATTTACTAAAATATTCATTTAGCAATTACTAAAAAATTATAACTTGTATGACTTACTGACCTTTCATGTAAGCATGTCAAATATCTGAAACTAAACTAGGAGGGTGAAAAAATAAAGGGGTTAAGCCTTGAATTCAAGATCGGCCAAGCGGGGTTTATACCAAGAATGCTGAAATGATTCAATCTTACTAAAGTTATTAATATAATTCACAATCTTGATAGGTTTAAGAAGAAAAACCAAATGATTATCTATGAGACTGATAAAAACTTGGACAAATTTAACGCCCATTCCTAATAAAAACTTATGAGAAAATAACAAAAGATGGATATTTTCTTAATATGAGGAAACACGGAGGCATGCCCACGGTGGTCAAGAGTAAAGCAAGGATGACCTCTATCTCCACTACTATTTACTAATGTTCAAGAGGTATTAGCCAATGCAATTAGACTAGAGAAAACAGTTAGATGCAAAATAATAGGAAAGGAAGAAATAAAACTATTTCTATCTGAAAACAACATAATAATGTCGTTGTTGTTAGGTTGCAACTCATAGCGACCCTATGTACAACAGAACCAAACACTGCCCAGTACTGCACCATCCTCACAATCTTTGTTATGCTTAAGCCCACTGTTGCAGTCACTGTGTCAATCCATCTCATTGAGGGTCTTCCTCTTTTTCAATGACCTTCTACTTTACAAAGTATGATGTCCTTCTCCAGGGACTGGTCCCTCCTGATAACATGTCC